TATTATTTTTCAATTTTTGTTTTGTAAGAGAAGAGAGAGAGCATAGTCATTTTGGTAAAAAAAAATATAAATATTATGAGAGAGAGCATAGTCATTTTGGTAAAAAGAAAAAAAAATATTATTTTTTTCTAATTCTAACCACCAAAATAGTTGATATTAGTATTCACAAGTCTCATTTGATGAAAAGAGTTTGATAAGGTTGTTAAAAACATCAAAATTATCTAAAGAAGTAAATCCAAGTCAATAAAAATTTTTTTACCCCGATTTGATTTTACTGAACAAACCTTCATTGACAAACCTATAGCAACCTATAATAACTAAAGATAGAAGATAAAGAAATCAACAATGAAGAAAAATGAGAGAGATTTGAAAGAGAGAGAAAGTCAAACTTTCAGGTTTTCAGATCTCCTTCCTTGAGCAATGGTGAGTGTCGCTGCCAATATAAGAGTGAAGAGAAGATCAAGATGCTTCTTACCTTCCTTCAAAAGAGGCAATGCATGAATTTATGCGCTAGTACATACACCACCACTATTTCAGCGGTCTTCCAATATCTATTTCAATATACGTTAAACATTTCAAATGTCTTATAAGATTAATTTATAAACTTAAACTATTTTTGAACAAATTATTATAAATTTGGGACAATTTGCTTATTGTTGTGTATAATTTTAGATTGTTCAAACAAATTATTTAACTTGAATTTATTTGTGTTTTTGGCTTGATAATTTGCGTTGAATTGTGATTTTATTCTTAGGTTTGAGTTTATGTCGATTTGAACATTAAATCATAATTCATGGTTTGTTCTTGGATTGATGTTGATTTATTAAAATTAACATGAAATTTAAATATAAGTTCATGAAATTAATAAGATTGTGAGGATGTTTGATGTTATTTGATTTTGAGTTTATAAATGATAATTTGTTTTGAATTGATATCATGGTTAAAATAGCTTTTGATAAAAATATTTTATTTACATCTTGTCAAACACAGTTTTAGTATAGTTTCCCTTTCACAAAACAGCAACAAAAAAATTTTCTTTTAAAAATACAATTTTATTTTAATTTGTATATGATCAAATCTCTCAAAAATTAAATTTTCATATTTTATCATATTAAAATTTCACAAAAAAATATTTTTTTATTTTACTTGTATTTTAGATTTAATAACTAGTTTATTAACTTTATGAGAACTTAACCTACATTTCAAAAACACCAAAAAAAAATTGTTCTTTTTTAATATACAAGATTATGAACTTATATGTAATATATATTCTCGATATTAAATAAAAAATAATTTTTTATTTTTTTAACATTAAAACGATTAGGTTTTAACTTGATAAGATAAGAGTCTCTTTATATATGAAGATTTTTTTAAAATTTTAAACAGACCAGTTGTTAAAAAACACAATAATACCTAAATTTATATCAAACAAACAAACAATGTAGATTACTTTATATAACGTGTACTAGAGATGATATATCCTTTCTATACAGTAGTAGTGCTCTTATGTAGATTATAAAATCCATTAAGATTTCTAATTAGGTAACGACTTTATCTCTATTTTATTAATAAAAAAATATTTTTTTATTTTTTTCTCCATTACTAAAAAGATTCTAACTTAAAAGAATGATTATTATAATGGTGCCATGTTTTTAATCTTCATTTCAAATATTTTAACACTTACGTTATATATGTGTATGTGTGTAGGCACGCACGCACGCGCCACAATAAAATATAGAAACATTAGGCCATGCCTAATGTCTCATGAAACTTTTCTTAAGTTTTTAACTTAGCGTAACCTAACTTAAGTTTTTAACTTAGCGTAACCTAAAACACATGTCTTTACCTAGTGTTCATGTATTTAATGGATGTCAGAGAGGATGATAATTATTATTTTTAAAAGTAATTTTTTATTAAAATAATATTTATTTTAAAATAATTATTTTTAATAAAAAACATATCAAAATAATTTAAAAACATAAAAAAAATGTTAATTTAAAAAAAATTAAAATTTTCAAAAGTACTAGTTAAAACATGATTAAAAACACTCCATTGACAAAATCAGATGACATTTATCCAATAATCATCATTCGTTTAGGAGTTAACCCCTAGATTGTTCCACCCTTTAGTGGAATCAAAACCGTAAACCCATTCCAAATCAAGATTGTAACCTAGAAAGCATTTCTTTGAAGAAAGGCATTGCAACTCGAATCCCTCTCTTTTTCTTGATGCAACATGACCCAAATAAAGAGTATAAGAAACCAATGGCCATCGATATGAAATTGAAGTTAAGCATCTTTACATCTGTAAAGATAGGAATGGCATCCAGAGGGATAATAAATGAATAAAATAAAGGTTAAAAAAACAGGGCAGGAGCTCCTGTTTAGGATAATATATATACCGGGTTTTCCAAAAACTGAAATCACATTAACTTGAAAGAGATGAAGTTCGTGTTTCATTTGCCATGTGGCTCATGTTTCTGCTTCAGCAAGTCCAAAAAGAACAAAGATAAGGAGAAGAAGGAAGAACATGATAGCAGCAAAGATGGCTGACGAGATTTCCACATGAAATCATGGGCTGAGACCCGTGATGCTTTGACTGCTGTTCCTTCACTCTTTTCTTCTCATTTCTCTCTGAATGAATGTAGAGAATATTGTAACCATCTTTTCCTTTAGATGGTGATGAAGTATTGAAATATCTTTCTTTGTTATGTCTTCAATTCTAATGTGATATATATATTAAGAAAAACATCACGTCTCTTTGTGCTTCGCCCACTGATCTTTTGGCGCATTTGATGTTCAATTGAAACCAGACCCGTCTGTGAAAGAAACCTGCACATGAATGTAACTGCTTTAGAAAGCTTACAACTTGAAAATGTCTTATCAGCTATATTTGAAAAATGATTTTGCTCATTGGGGTGGTTTTTCAAATAGGAGAGGCTAATCAACTACATCCCAAAGATGAATTCCATAAAGGTCATAATGAAACGAGCATAACTTCATGGTCTTCCTTCTTACTATACCTTCAAACGCTGAGAAAATCTATAAACTCAAATTATTTTTGGACAAATTACTTTAATATTGTGAAATTTGAAACAATTTACTTATTATTGTGTATAATTTGGATTGTTTGGACATATTATTTGACATGAATTGACTTGTGTTTTTTATTTGATAATTTGGATTGAATTACGATTTAATTTTTACATTTGAGTTTATGTTGATTTATTTGAATTAACATGAAATTTTAATATAAATTGATGAAATTAATAAGATTTGTGTGAATATTTATGCGTTGTTCGATTTTAAGTTTATAAATGATAATTTGTTATGAATTGATATCAAAGTTAAAGTAATCTTGATAAAAATATTTTATTTTTATCTTATTAAACCTGGTCTTTATACAGTTTTTTAAATAAAATTTTAAATTTTAAAGAATCACTTTACATTTAATTCCCCGCTCTTTTCTACTCTCATGTATTTAATATTTGGAATTATTACTTAAATGGAAAGCGCTTTTTGGGTATTAAACACATCATTTGCCTTCTATAAAAACATCAATAAAAAACCTTTTACTTTCAAAAATACAATTTTATTTTAATTTGTATATAACCAAGTTTCTCAAAAATTAAATTTGCATATTTTATCGTATTGAAAATTCACCCAAAAAAATAGTATTTTTTTTTACTTACATTTGAAATTTAATAACCAATTTATTAAATTCATGAAAGTTTAGCATACATTTCAAAACACCAAAAAAAAAAAATCTTTTAACATACAAGATTATGTAATTATACATACAATATATTTTCAATATTAAATAAAAATAATATATATATACACACACATGCACACAAAATAAAGCGGTTAGGCTTTAACCTTATAAAATATGAACCTTCTTATTAAAGAGAACTTTTTTAAAACCTTAAATAGATCAAGGATTAAAAAAAAAAAATAATACCTAAATTGATATTAAACAAATAAATAATACAGATTACCTTACATTAGGTGTATTAATAGTAATACATCTTATCTATACACAAGCAATGTCCTTATCTAGACTCTAAGAACAATTATGATTTTTAATGATTAAAATATTAGATTGCAACTTCATCCCTCTTTTATTGATAATAAACAATAATTTCTTATTCTTTTCTCTATTACCAAAAATATTGTTTTTTATTCTTTTCTCTATTACCAGAAATATTTTGACTCGAGAGGATGATAGTTGCAATATTACACACACGTACAACACATATAATGATACCATGTTTTTAAACTACATTTCAAATATTTTAACACTCACATTTTTTATATATATAATAATATTTATCCCACAATCAAACATAGAAACACATAACAAGATCTAATATCTCATATAACCTTTCTTAAGTTTTTAGCCTAGTTTAACCGAAGTATCAGTTGTTAAATAGTCATTCTCGTGCTTATACATTTATAAGGTGTTTGGAAGAATAATTATAATTATTTTTTAAAAATATTTTTCAGTTAAAAATACATTAAAATAATATTTTTTTATTTTTTAAATTATTTTTGATATTTACAACAATAAAACAATTTAAAAACATAAAAAAATAATTAAAAAAAAAAAAAACACACTCCGACCGAAACATGATTACAAAAACTTCATTGACAGCATCAGATGACATTTATCCAATAATCATCATTCGTTTAGGAGTTAACCCCTAGATTGTTCCACCCTTTAGTGGAATCAAAACCGTAAACCCATTCCAAATCAAGATTGTAACCTAGAAAGCATTTCTTTGAAGAAAGGCATTGCAAGTCGAATCCCTCTCTTTTTCTTGATGCAACATGACCCAAATAAAGAAGTATAAGAAACCAATGGCCATCGATATGAAATTGAAGTTAAGCATCTTTACATCTGTAAAGATAGGAATGGCATCCAGAGGGATAATAAATGAATAAAATAAAGGTTTAAAAAACAGGGCAGGAGCTCCTGTTTAGGATAATATATATACCGGGTTTTCCAAAAACTGAAATCACATTAACTTGAAAGAGATGAAGTTCTTGTTTCATTTGCCATGTTGCTCATGTTTCTGCTTCATCAAGTCCAAAAAAAACAAAGATAAGGAGAAGAAGGAAGTACATGATAGCAGCAAAGATGGCTGACGAGATTTCCACATGAAATCATGGGCTGAGACCCGTGATGCTTTGACTGCTGTTCCTTCACTCTTTTCTTCTCATTTCTCTCTGAATGAATGTAGAGAATATTGTAACCATCTTCTCCTTTAGATGGTGATGAAGTCTTGAAATATCTTTCTTTGTTATGTCTTCAATTCTAATGTGATATATATATTAAGAAAAACATCACGTCTCTTTGTGCTTCGCTCCCTGATCTTTTGGCACCAAATCCATTTCTCGCATTTGATGTTCAATTGAAACCAGACCCGTCTGTGAAAGAAACCTGCACATGAATGTAACTGCTTTAGAAAGCTTACAACTTGAAAATGTCTTATCAGCTACATTTGAAAAATGATTTTGCTCATTAGGGTGGTTTTTCAAATAGGAGAGGCTAATCAACTACATCCCAAAGATTAATTCCATAGAGGTCATAATGAAACGAGCATAACTTCATGGTCTTCCTTCTTAGCATATTTAAATCATGCCCGTGTATAAAGGGTAAATGCCCCGAATGACACTTTAGAAGCACCACCATCAACTCACCCAAGTGAAAACCTTGCTTGCTACTTAGAGCGTGCATGTAACATCCTGGAGTCAAATCAAATGGCGATCTAGGCAGCTAAATTACACGGAATCAAGAAATCACTAAAAGCCCATAAGAAAACTCAGATGATGAAAGCCCTCTTATTCCAACATGCAAGGATCAGCATTTGATTTTCAGATAGATCCACTAGCACATGAGGTGCATAAAAAATCCATGCACCAAACAGATGCTGTGCCCCAGCTGCAAACAGTTATTGGATAGAAAACCCATACCCATGATTTTATAACACAGTTTTAAGGCGGTACAATTGGAGTTCCAGAGCGCTTTCCAACTAGAGCCAGTTTAAAACATCAATCAGGGGATAGTGCAAATCTTTCTAGTTTTTTTTAACCTCTTCTAGAAAACTACTGCTGTGAGCAGTTTCGACTGCATAAAGACAGTGCATATAGAATGAATTCAATTAATCTACTTCCAAGCAAGGAACTAGCAATCCTGAGTAAAGAGTAATCAATTTCTATTCAAAATCATGTGTTATAGCCATCACTTGACACCATATGGGTTGTTAGATGCAAACACAATACTGCACAGGTCGTAGAATCCAGAAGGCATAGCAAGCACCATTTCCTCAAACCCTAAAGAAGACAGAGAGATGTTTGGGATGCACAGATTTGCAGGCCAACTATTTTTTTAGGCAAGATACTCTTTGTGCAGGAAAGAAATGGGGCAACAGATATGCCATGTTGATATATTCATGCATTTTAATTTTATAAATGACATGTATGCAGCAGATCTCTATACCCTTTAGCTTAAAGATGTGTTTTTCATCCCTGATGACACTTTTTTGACAATACATCGAAGATTCAATACTTAACAATCATGCTTCAAACAGACCAGGTGGGAAAATCAGATGCATTGCACAACCAAAGTCATGCTTCCAGAGCCCAACACTGATGTTCATACACAATAAATTGTCACAAACCATATAAACGAATAATCCAATCATCTAAGGTCTAGCGAAGGGGCTCCATTCCTATGGTGGTTTTATCAACAACCTATATCAACTACCTTATCCCATAAGGGACCTTACAAGGCTCCATTCCCATGGTGATTTTATCAACAACCTATATCAACTGCCTTATCCCACAAGGGACCTTGCAACAATTACATTCCTTACCAATAGATACTAGATTTTACTGACCACCATAAACCATTGTTAAGGAAAATTATAGTGAAGCTTGCGAAAATATACTACAAATTTTATTGCTGGTTAAAAAAAAAAGAAAAAAAAGGATAGGTTAGGTTAGAATTGGAGGCCTGGCAAAACTAACTGGATCAAGATGCAAAAAACAAACATAGATAAATATTAAAAGCTTAAGCAATAATCATTTTTAAGGAATCATATACAAAAAAATAAAACAAAACAATGGTCTTATGCGTACTCTAAACAGAAGTCCCAAAATCAAAAGCAAATCGATATAAGAAACAATAACTCATGTTTCAATTCAACAAAGTTAGGATATTTTTAAGAAAAGAAATAGATTACCAGCTAAGAAGCAAGAAGAGGGTAGCTGTGATTGTTACAAGAAACCCAACATGAATTACCAAAGAAGAGTCGCTGGAAGAGAAAGCTAAGACAAGCATCATAGCAAGACACAAACCCAACAGCAAAAATGCTGATTTCAATGTGTTCCATGTTGGTCCCTGAAATTCGAACGACGACAAAAAAAAGGTCAATATGATTGCATAGTAATGTAACAATGTTACGGCGATAATAATAGTACAGCATACGTTAACCCCAGGTGCTAATGCTCCAAATAAGACTGCTTGTGCTGAAGATATGTCTGATTGTTTGTCTTTCTCCATATCGATCTGGGTTTTTTGAGATCTGAGATTTTTAATTCCTTACAGAGAGAGAGGGAGGGAGGGAGGGAAAGGGAGAGGATACACGAACTTGAAAGTTGAATACTTTGAACTGGGCTAATAAGCTAAGGCTGTTTGGATTCGTGTCAAACAGTTCTTTGGCACAATATCATGGCTCAATATTGTTCTCCCTTAGCCCCAAAAGTGTTTTCCTGTTTTCCTCTCATATTTGATAGAAAACTGATTAATAGAAAAGGAATTCACCTTTTAAGTCAAAGAAAAAAAATAAGTTAAGAGGAAGAAAGTGTTTTCTGTGTTCTTCTGTATATAAACATTAATATATTAAAAGAAAAACGTTTTAAAATATATAACATCATTGAATTTGGTTAGTTTTTTTTACTTCACTGGTGCGCATCTTAAAAAAATTATTTTTTTATATTTGTTAATAATTTTAATATATTAATATCAAAAATAAATTTTAAAAAATAATATACATATATATATATATTATTTTAATATATTTTTAAATTAAAAATATTTTTCGTTAACACAATATTATGCAATACTTTAAGCAATGTGTCTGAAAGTTCCAAGGATTAACTATGGAATGGGAATGCAGGCAACGCAAGTACTTGCTAAGGTTGTTAATTTTATTTTGTTACGTTATGTTTTGTTTTTTTTCTGAATAGTTAAATTATTTTATATTAATTTTAAAAAATAAAAAAAATAGTTTTTACTTTATCTTAAATCTCGATATGTTCTGGATTTTCTAGATAAATTTTAACTAAAATGCTCCAATTTCATTTCACATTTCAGGTTCAAAAAACTTTTAAATCAAATTAGTATTTTGTTTCCAAAGACTTGTATGAACAGTCATTGCTGTTAAGAACAACCGAAATCCAATAAGAATTGGCAAATAGCCTCTGGTTTTTTACATAAAAAAAGTGTTGAATTACTTTAAGTTTAAGTTAAAGTTATATTTAATTTTAACTATTTAGAAATATTTTAAATTTTAAAATTATATTTATTTGTCATTGTATTTATATTATATAATTTATAATTAATTTATTTTAAATTTGAATTATGTTTGTTGAAAATTATATATATATATATATATATTATCCCAAACAAAATGCTGAAATAATCTAAAACCAAAATATTTCTTTCCAATTAATTTTTTTTTTTTTTACTGAAATAGAATTGAGAACCCTGCTTGAAAGACACAAGTGACAGTGATACATATTAATAAATCTAAACTTGAAGCATAATTATTGTCAGTTCTAAAAATGTTTGATGAATCATGAACTTCTAATTTAGAAACTACGAAGTCGATTAATAAGGTCCTTAAATCTCAGCAGATGCATTTGTACGATGTTAAAACTTTCAATTATACCCAAATTAATCTAGCAATGTATAAAATGTGTCCATTTTCCCTCCATATGTTAGCTCTGCTGTAATTAAATCAATAGTTGGGGGTGTGATTGAAAGTCACATCATAGATGGGTTCCCTATTTGAAGTTATCGATGTTTTTGAGTCTTTGCTAGGTCGCTGATATCATGTCTCAGCCCTGCATTTTGAGCTTTGTCGAGGGCTGTTCTCTAAAATCAGTGATAAAAACAGCACGAAAGCAGATCGATATAATCTTTGCAGGTTAACAATTGCAATGAATTCTTAAGTTAAAAGTTTCAGAGCATTCTCTTTACCGCCCTGTATATATAACAGGGCAGATACTATCTGATACTGATACAACATGTCAATTTTGACAAACTATACATATACGATTCCTACACGGCTGAAATTTTTCTGCACACTTTCTTATAGCTATTCTTCTTTTGGAGGAATGGCTAAATATATGCATATACATACACAGGGACACATAAATGCTAACAACTAACAAATCACAGTTGCGGCCTATGCATCATTAATATGCTGACTGCAGCTCCGACAAAGGTATGCAGCCATGTTCAGTGCTCATATTGACTGTTTTGTATGACAGTTTCAACTTCCCATATACGTAGGACCTCTCAATGTCGGATCCTGCTGAAGCAACCATTCTTTCTCCTTGAGATACTGCAAGAGTGGCTCTGGCTCATTCGTGACACCACATCCATAAGGGCTCGGTCTTTGGTAACCATAAATGAATTTGTTCCTTTGATCGACAGTTTCATAAACAGGAGAAAAACCTGGATGCAATGGAGGGCTCCCTTCATAAATCAATTGGTTAGAAGCCCAAGGAATTCCCCACTGATCGAAAAGACCTGAGCTGGACATGTCATGGAAGTTTCCAGTGTTCCCAATGGCATACGAATGAACTGGCCATAAGTGACTAGTGCTTCGCTCGAGATTCTGACTTTCCCTGTACTGACGAAGCCATTCAGAAGAAGTCATTCTACGCACCGGTGTGTATGCATCCATGAATCCTGGAATTCCAGGACCATAATCAAGTGGTTGATGAGAACCAGTCCAATTCAAATAGCCACTCACTTGAGGTGTCTCAAAATAATTAGAATTCGTTCTGTTGATGGTTCCTGTGCTATTGTAGTCAGTGAAAGTAGATTGACTGCCATTTAGCGGCACAGCATCATCTGGAAGAAATGGGGCAGAAGGCACTGGAGCTGAATAAGGATGAAAAGAGTGATGTGGGGTCATGGATTCATGCCCCAAACTAATTACAGAGTCAGTTTCACTGATACAGAGATCATTCATGGATGCTGAAGCTATTTCCTGAATAGGTGCCAAGCTATGTTTACTCGTGTCACTTTTACCTTTCACCCTTTCATTGCTCAAACCTCTATTGAGGACCCAGGCATTGAGTGAGGGAGGCCCAGCAGAAATGGAGGTGCTGTGAGGGGGAGTCCAATGAGAGATAGAGGCTTCTGAAAGCAGGTGTTCTACTGTATCCTTTACAAGAGGCTCCTGCTTTTTCATTGGCTTGTTGCACCTGAAATTAGTGAGGTCAGAATGGAATGCCGAAGGATCACCCTGGCCCTGGTATTGTGCTATTAGTAGTGATGTAGCACGTCGCAAGCATTCATCGGCAGGTGCAATTTTGTCCCCAGCGTCTTCAGAAGGTGTTTGATCATTAGAGGTGATAGAGCTATAAAGTGGTGCAGAATTGTATCTTGTGAGAGGCTTGAAGAGAATTACTTCTTCCTCTTCCAAGGAAACAGATTTTCCATTCACGAAAGGGCCACTTGGTTTCTCCTCGAGAATAGCTTTCTCACTTTTTTCTGTAAAATGGAAAATTTGCTGATCTGGCACTTTCTCTTGAACAGCAGCAGTAGCAGACCCTGTCTTTTCAGACTCTTTCCTGTCTGGAAATTTATCTGATCCTCCAACAGAAAAATTTCTTCCAGATTTATCATAGAAGATCCACTTGTGATTACTGTTTGATCTGTCTGCGATCTTTATAGCAGCATTAATAATGCGGTTAGCACGGTATTGAGTTCCATTTTTGTAACTGTTTCTGTGTCCCCAATGATTTGCAAAGTCCAATGGCACCTGTGAATGAGCTAATGGTGCAAAGCCTCTCAACTCATAGTCTTCCCAAAGGGCAACGCTGCATGGAGGCTCGTATTCACTACTATCAACACCAAACCGCTTCAGAAGTTCAAGAAACTCACCAAAAAAATAAGATATGGCGCTTGTACTTTTATCATCAGATCCATATGTTTCTAGTTCATCAAGAATACTCGCCAACCACTCCACGAAAATGAGTAAAGCTGGTAAAAGTGGGCACGAGTCCAACAAAACTACCTTCAAACATCTACCAATAAGGCGTCCCATGAAGATGAACGAAGCAGTCAATGCAGCTTGTGCTAACACAAGCTGCTGTGCTTCAGTTCTATCCTTTGAATCTTTTCTGTCCGGGCTATCTATTAGATTCTCAATGACAAAGATGAATACTGAGACACATTGAAGGGTTCTAAAAGGACCAGTCCTGGCTGAATTCATATGCTGATATGACTCCATTGCAGCTTCTAGCTTTGCATCATCTAGTGCCATCAACACATCGACCTCTTTAATAGTAGATGCAAAAGTACAAGGAAAATCCTCAAAACTGCCACACATTGTATAAGCAATTAGTAATGTATACAACCATCTTATGTAAAGTAAGGAGTTCATAAGATGATAATATTATGAAGAAGTTAGCAAAAATTCAGATCAGCATGCCATATGGTGGAAGTGGTACTTGCAGCATGCAATGCATATGATAACAAAAACTTGAATTAGAAAAGTGACAGCATATTTCAGAAGAAAGGATGCATTGATCCTGTTCAGCTGATAATCCTCGTGATAAGAATAACAGTTTTAGTTTCTCTGTCCAAAATTTCAAACATAAACATTTATTTTGTTGGCTAGGAATTTATGGTAATGACTATTAAAAATTCTCACACCCTCTTTTCATGTTCTTTGTTAATCCACTAAAAGATCATTAACTCTCAGAAGCTCAACCTAAGACAAACGTTCACTTTTATAAAAGATGATAACATAACAGTTATCAAGGTGACCACTCCGGATAGATATCAAGAATTTTACCAGTGGTCAAAATTTACTGTAGGAACCAGAAGACATCATAGCACATGCTACACATAACAGATTAAGAACGAGTCATTAAAGATGATTACATAAGTAAATCTAGACAGGAATCCAAAACCTGTTTAGTAGAAGCAAAATGTTCTTCAAGGAGTACCTGTCTGTAATGAATAAGAAACTTATTGTTCTAATGATAAGAGACCATAAATTTGTCTCCCTTGAGCCTTCATCTTCAGCTTTCAAAGGCTTGCAATTCAACAAATCATTAGTTGATTGTACTTTAGTCTGGACGTTACATTCAGATGGTTGCAAGAAATCAAAGCTGGCCTCGCTGGAAAGGTATTGCAAATGGGATGCCCTGTTCTGAAAGACCACAGAAACCAACTGAGAACTGCCAAGAAAAAAAAAAATCGGCAGCAACAGCAACGTAGGTGATAGTATTTAGAAGAAAAAGAAAAAAGAAAATAGGAACATGAGCTTGAGTCTTACTCTTTCAAACAGTAAAATAAGGTTGTTCCATGCATCAGGGAAAGGATCTTTAACAGCTAAACTTCTTATGCAGTGATACAAAGCAAGGAACTCATCACCAACATACATTGCCAACACTGCCAACTAAAAATGAACATAGTCTGTTATATGCATATATATAGAAACCAGGACAGTAGCTTTTATGAGCATAAAAAGTTCTAAAAGCCATGAGCTCTCAAGACTGAGGACATTTTCTAAGTTTCCCCACTGATATCATAACAAGGAAGTAGCATGAATATACCTGATTTTGGGGGTTTCCACTGTCTGGCCAAATTATTGTTGCTTCCAAGTAATGTGCGACTGCAACTGACCAATTGTGATTCTGTGCGTCAGATTTTTCACATTGTTCTCTGTATCTAGCAAAATCCCCAAGACAAACTAAAAAGCGATGGCATAAAAATTGAAGTTTCTGCATTTTCTTTGGCTCAACAGAAGCAGAGTTGCCACCACTTCTAAGGAAGGAAAAATCTTCAGGGAGACCATAATATCCTTTGATTTTGAAGATTAGATTTTGGTAAAATTCAGTTGCTTCAGACAGAAATGACTTAAATCCAACTACATGGTTGTCACTGCTTCTCTGTGCAGCAACCACACTCTGTGGTGTCGCAGATATTGTAGTGTCTCCATTAGCAGAATTTCTCTTCATTCTTTTACGATATTCATCAATATGTCTGTAGTGAAGCTTCCACAAAGAATATTCAGTATCTTGAAGGCCCCCCAGTTTGTGATCACTAAGGATTATTTTCTCATAACCAGAGCAGATTTTTCGGTACAAGTCTTGAACATTGGAGTCCAATAGACCTTTTGTATGGATTAATGCCCACAGCTGTTTTTCTAAGTGAGCAACCTAAACCACCACGATTTCAAGAGTCAATAATGGAAGAACATGAATTTCATTTTAAAAGGCGATGAATAACACACAAGCATGAAGTTGCAAAATTTACCTCAACGAAAAGACTTGGTTTTTCTTTCTGATCGGTAAGATGTGAATTAGTATCCATGACTGGCAGAAAAAGAATTTCCTGACCTGCCATTTATCAGACAATGTAGAGGGAAATGTAAGAGAACAAAATAAACCCTGAAATTCTAATTTGAAAGACGTGATAATATCCCAGATACGTTTTCATGGTATTCTAGTCATCACATACAAAATATCGAAGCTCATGATATTTAGCATGGATACAGCTCGTGCAAAGGCCCCCAATGAATTCAACTAACAATCTCTCTACGGAAATATATGATAGAAGTGAAATGTCCTGAGATACCCCTAAGTAATTATAATGGCAATCAAAATCAAAATGTTGAAGATGGTAACACATTGCAAACCAAAACAGATATCATGTTGAGTAGTGATTAGCAAAAAATAAAAAAAAAACAAAGAGAAAGAGAGAGAAATTCCCTATAACAAGCAACCTGGACTTAAACAAAAACCTAAGTGGACATTCATCAAGAATTATGTTCTCCAAAGCATTCAGACTTGATTGAAAATATTAAGAAACTTTCCAACAAAGAACTCAAGTGATCTAATATCAACGGTCCTTAAAGTCGAATTAAACTCCTGAAGTAAAATTTTGAAACCATCCAAAGTTAAAACATCATGCAGCCTACCCTAAAAGAACTTGAAGAGGCATATGTAAACTCTTCTGCAAATTATAAATTATTGACAGTGGTAGCAGAATAGAAGTACAACTCAACCTTTTTAAGCATATAATCCACCTAGAACATGATCATCATCTTCAAAATTGATGCGTGAAAGCAAACATTATAAAAGTCCAAGAGTGAGAATTGCTTAATTAATTGATGCCAACAGGTTGTAGACTTTAAGCGACCAGTCAATAAACAAAGAATTTGCCAACAGTATACTACAAGAGATTTTTTTTTTTTACGAATAATTACAGAGGAATTAAAGAGGAAAAAAATTCATAAAACAAGAATCAGGGAATTCCATAAGGCACAAACCAAACTCACAAGAATCAAATTTGAACAGGCAGCAGCGGAAACAGTAAAGAAACCCACTTCAAATCAAGAAATTTGGATAGAAACAAGCATAAAAGTTATGATCTTTAATGATCATAAAAAGAAGGGAAAGAACAGTAGTTGAAAATGGAAAAAGAAAAAAAAAAAAAAAAAAAAAAAAAAGAGCACCTGAGGAAATTAAAGAGTCAACAACAAACAAAAGAGAAATTCCATTAAAGTTAGTAAGTAGGAGCCAATGTTTGTAGCACAAATTGAGACCAAAACAACCACCCAAAAGTACACAGCTTTGAGAGAGAGAGAAGCGCGGGCATAGGAAGAAGCAAGAATAGTTTAGCCTCTGAAACAGGCAAAGTAAGAGGTGGCTGCTTATAAGACTGTCTTTGTTGGTACTTGCACTTTTCTTAACGGCAAAAAAATATCTTAATAAATAAATCTTGTGAAAATTAACTTGATGTGTCTCTATTATCTTGGTTTAAAAATAAATAAGATAATAAATAAAAATATAATTTAAATAAAAACATGTATTGAATATGTGTTTTTAAATAAATATTAAAATAATAATATATTAAACCAATTTATATTAATTTGGTTAATCTATCTATCTATATATCAAATCATAAAATTATTATAATTCCATAAATAATTAATCAAAATAAATTATGATTTTTTTTCAATAACTTTAATATTAAAAAATAAAATTAAAAAAATCAATTAAAAAATTAAATCAAGTCAATTTATCCTACAACCCGGGTCATGGAACTAGAATAAACCAATAAAAAATAAATCAAAATAAATTATCAAGTTTAATTCTCGATTAACATAGTATTAAAAGATGAAATTAAAATAAAAATTAATTAAAAAAATATAAAAAACAATGGAGCAAAAATTAATTAAAAAAAATATAAAAAACAATGGAACACCAGGATTAACATTCCAAACCTATGTTTTAAATTATAAGAACTGGATAACTTCATACAAAATAAATCAAAATAAATTATGAAGTCAATTTCCCTATTAATTTAATGTTGAAAGATAAAATTAAAAAAAATTAATTAAAAAAACTAAAATCAATTAAATTAACTTATCAAACTCATAGCCTAGATAACAAATCTAAAATAAATTAGTAAAAAATAAATTTAAAAAATTATATAATTCAATCTTCAATAATTAATTAAAAAAATATTATTCAAATGAATAGCATTATGAAAGGAATGCTACAACAAACACCTTTTCCTTTAATTTTTATTTATTAATAATCTTTATTGTATTGCAATTAAGTCTATTTAAAGGTGGGTTATATTTGATTGATATTTTAATATAAAAAATAAAAATAAGAAGAATAAATAATTTATTTAGTTAAAGAAATACAAACATAAATATAAAAATAAGTGTTTTCTTAGATAATTTCGAAATAATTTTTTTAATAAAAAAATTATTTGTCTTTTCATATTAAAAAAAAAGTAACCTAATATTATCTATACATAGAAAACTACCTTACAAGTCATCAGAGAATAGTAAAGAGGAGGAATAAAAAAAAAAAAAAAGTCGAAGAACGACCATCATCACAATCATCAGTTTCTCTTGACCAAATGAGAAGGATCCCTTGCAATCCAAGCTACATCCATCGTTTTGTCCTGCAACTTTGTCAAGATATATCACTAATAGAAACAAAGAAACCAAAAAAGTAATAATTATGCTTGAGGGGCCACCTTGTTCTCCATAGATTATACTTCCTCTCTAGCTCCTCTTCTATTTGAAAAAAAAAAAAAAACACCAAACCCTACTGCTTAATTCATTCAACTAGGCCAAGCCATTAAGAGAAAATTAAATAAATTTATGGAATAGAACAAGTTAATAATATTTCCCATGTTCATATATATCATAGGGTAATTTTCTTTCTTGATATGATACCAGCATATGATAAGAAATGCGGCGAGTGTTTTGGCCCAATGGCGAGGGGCTGGAGGGTGGTTGAGGGGTCATGTTATATGCTAACAAAAGTCAATATATGCGTGTAGTCATGTATGACAAAATATTGAATTGTGAGGCCCTCGATATTATTTATGTTTTGTTGTGTAGGAGATGAGCACGTACAGAGCCAGTATTTATTAACCTCACTTGAGCATACCCCACTGGTAGGTTAGGAAAAGGGATGGCAACGGTCGTATGCGGGTTGCATTTTTTTCCCATGTTCTTTTTTCTGTCTATTATTTATTTGCTATATTTATAAATTATTTGTTGAATTTTATGTATTTAATGAATATCCATTATCTACTATTATTTATTAATAAATAAAAAATAAAACAAATATTATTCATATATGTGTGTGTTTGCGTGTTATGTATCATTATTAAGGTATGTATATATGATATAGTATTAAAAAAAATCTAAATATTCTATAAATATATTTATATAATTCAAATATACATTTTAGGTTAGATTTGGATGATTTTCTTGTTAAATTTAATAATTATTCATCAAATCCAAAAATCCCTATTAATTCAGGTGATATCAATATTTAGCATGTTCAAATGAAGTCCTATATATATATATATGTGTGTGATTAATTCAGGTGATATCAATATTTAGCAGGTTCAAATTAAAAGTCCTATATATATGTGTGTATGTGTGTGTGTGTTAGTTATTATAAAACAAATATTATTACCATCATTTTTTTAATATTATCACCATCACAATCGTCTTGATATAATAGCTATCCATTAATAAAATAATAATTTTATTGATGCTTTTTTTTAATTTTTTAAAAAATACTTTATATTAAAAAATTTAAATTTAATTCTGATTCCTTGTTATTATTCTAAACACAATATTAGAATTAAAATATAACCTTGATTTCTTAATTGTCTAAAAAATATGATATTCTTTTTATTCAATAGTATCGTATATTTGAGCAACTTACATATTAATTAAAATAAATTTTTTTCCTATACTATTTTAAATTAATACACACCTCAAATGAGGAATAAATTCTTATGGAATCCTAAATTCTAGTACTAAACTGCTAGCTCTAGTCTAAACACTTACTTTTAAAAAAAAAGTGTCTAAACATTATGATATTCTTTTTTATTCAACAATAAAGATATATTTGAGGTATTTTATGCATTAATTAAAAATAAATCATTTTTTATATGATTTAAAAAAAACATTTTCAATATTTAGAGAAAACAAATTTCTATGATATTAGTTTTAAAGTTTAAACTCAATAAATAAATAAATAAATATATCAGGCCAACCATTAGATTAACAAAAAAAAATTATTTAAAGAGATATGTCCATCAAATAAATTTTTAGCGTAGAAAAATAAACCCCGTTAAATTATCCACATGAATAGTAATTAGCACAATTCAAAATTAAATTACATATATGATCCTTATATTTACATTTTAGTCAAGTTTCCTTCAATATATCTTAAAACTAGCCATATAAAAGTGAAGTTGGTATATTTGAAATTGAGATTATAGTAGAGATGACGATTTAAAATAAATACATCAAAATAAAAGTATAAAAGTGAAGTTGGTATATTTGAAATTAAGATTATAGTAGAGATGACGGTTTAAAGTAAATACATCAAAATAAAAGTTTTTTTAAAAAAGATTATTTTTGACATTAATAAATTAAAATGATATAAAAATATTAAAAAATATATTTTAAATAATTTTTTAAAAAAAATAAGGGAACGGTTGTTTGCACCACCACGTTCCCAAAAAATACCCACTAAAATTCTGAAATTACCTTGCAGATCTTTAACATATAATAAAAGCCCTTGTAGATATTTAACATATAATAAAAGTATTAGGCTTTTTCATATAAAGTTAGACTCTTTTTTATTGTGTTTCTAATTTTTTTAATTTTATTATTTAATATTTAGTTTGCTAGGTATAAATCTTCATAATTAGTTTTGATTTACTTAATTTTTTTAATTTTATTATTTAATATTCAGTTTACTAGGTATAAATCTTCATAATTAGTTTGATTTAATTTTTATATAATTATCTTGATTTCATAAATCAGTTCGCGAGTTTTGTAGATAAGTCATGTTGACTCATGTTATGTTTTTGTCTATTTTTTAATTATTATTTTTTTAATTTTATCCTTCAATATTGGGTTAATTAAGAATCAGACTTTATAATTTTTTTTGAATCACTTTCTATGGTATCCTTTAATATTGGGTTAATTAAGAATCAAACTTTATAATTTTTTTTGAATCACTTTCTATGGATTTATCCTAGAGTTTTGACTCGGATTTGGCAAGTTAACCTCAATTCATTTAGTTCATTTTTTTTCAATTTCATCCTTTAAAATTAGGTTGATTGGGAATTGAAATTTATTTATTTTTATTTGCTTTCTATGTGATTATCATAATCTGATAATTCAGGTCATAATTTAGGCCGGTTGACTCGAGTTTTTTTTTAATTGAATATTTTTGGATTGCAGCCTTTAATATTGGATTAATTAGGAATTAGGTTTTATAATTTGTTTTGATTTTTATTTTATGAGATTATCTCAGTCTTATAACTTGGGTCATAGGTTTGGTCAGTTTACTCAGGTGTTCTTATGTTTTTTTTTTTATCCTTCAACATTGAGTTGATTGAGAATTGAATTTCATAATTTATTTCGATTTACTTTTTATAAAGTTGTCTCGGTCTTATGACCGAGTTGACTTGACTCATTTTTTTAGTTGAATCTGGTTTTAAATTATATCCTTCAACGTTTGATTGATTGAGAATTGAATTTAATAATTTTTTTTATTTGTTTTCTATAGGTTTATTATGGTCTTATGATAAAGGAACAAGATTTGACAGGTTAACCCAAGTCAATCTAAGTTAATATAATATGTTTTTGTTGAATATGTTTTTTTTTAAATGTCTTCTTAATTTTTTTAAAATCAAATTGCATTTTTATTGTCCATTTGGGTTGTCTTTAAATTTATCAAGTCGACTAGGTCATATGAGGTCAATCTCTATATTGTTTAATTTTATTATTTTGCTATAAAAATATTAATAACACTGAAATATTTTTTTTACATTAAAAAATAGATCCAACTTACAACATAAAGGAAGTGATGATCTAGTAGAACTCTAAAAGATTTGGGGTACACATAAGCTCATTCATTGTTTATATATTATATAAAGGAGG